TTGTTAGGGTACGTGGACTCCTTTAATCGGACCAACCAGAGAAATCCCTTATCAGAGCTCCGGGAGCACAAAATGACAGACACGATTTGATAGTCACAATATGCTCATTTTATTGACGTCGGGTCTCGGTTTATATACACCTCAGACAAAGAAATGGTTATGGTACCATATATGGTTATAGGTCTTATCTTTGCTTAAAATAACACGTAAGCAGTTTAGGAAGAAACACATCTTAACTTACATACGGCCTATATCCGGTTATCCTAATATAGGCTTGTTTGTCCGTTCTGTAATGATCTTTATTCTAGTTTCAGTACATGACAGAAAGATGTGAAACACTCATAGGAACAACACGTACACCATTTTGTTATAAAGAGTACCAGACACAGGGTGACAGGATCTGCACACGGACCATATCCGGGTAATACCTAATAAAGGCTTGCTTTATCAATCCATATCCGGAGAAATTACACACTGTTCTTTTATAGTGTATAATTCACATATTACACGATGGTCTGTTAGGTTACGCAGGGCAACACGGTGATAATTCTCCATTGTAACCTTGTTATCCCAACAGCGGTAAGTTGCCCTCTCCATTTTAGTCCTGCTTTGCACTAGCAGGACTAAATGTAGAGTGAGGCAGCCGATTGTTCGTTTACATGTGAACTCGGCGACATTCTTCTGTGTGATAGCAATAAAGTTAGGTGGAAAAAAAATGTAAATTGATAAATAAAAAAAAACTAAAACAAAATATGAAATTAAATAAAAAAAATTAAAAGGTGATTAAAGTAAAAAATAATAAGAAACAAATTATTAAAAAATAAGAAAATAATTGTAAAAAATAATAAGATAAAAAAATTATAAAAAAGTAAATAAGATAAATAAAAATCTAAAAAATTACATTGATAAAAAATAATTAAACATTTTAAAAAATAAGAAATAATGAAATAAAAAAAATTTGATAGTTTAAAAAAAAGAAAGAGTAAAAAATAATTGAAACTAACCCCGCCGCCCTGCCATCTGGTTGCTATTCTCTATTGATGGGAAGGGAGGGGATTGGCGCGCGGGGAGGGCGGGCGTATCGCTGAGCCTGGCCTTGGGGCGGCAGGGAGAGTAAATCCGGCCCTACTTGTGTGACAGATTTTCTGAATTGTAACTGCTGTTTGGCCTTCATTTGCTGGGGAAACCTTCCTCTATTTCAGTAAATCCTCAATATAAGCAACAAAAAAAGGGAAAGAAAAAACGTTCACAACAAGCACTACATACAGGCTTAAGTGCAAAACGAAAGAAGGAAAAAAAAGTGCAGCCGATTGGCCTCATTTAATCATTTTCTAACAGCCAACAGTGAAATATTAACTGGAACCTGAGTCATGGTCCCTTTCCTCCCAGATTTCATAAATGGACCATGGGGAGTTTCTTGTTTTACAGTTGTATAAATGGTCTCTAGTTAAAAGGAAGCCAGATACGCAGATGTTAAAGGAAAATACATATTTTTTTAAACGGTTGTTAATAATAATTCTCACTGATCTTTGTTACAGGAAGGCTTTGGCAGATGGAAAGAAAGCAGTTATACTTAGAAACACCTGGCCGAAGGTAAGTGTAATCGTTCCATTTGTTGATGGATACCTGTGCAGGGTTTTTTTATTTTTCTCCACGAAAACTTGGAAAAATAAAATTTTGCTGACGTTGGACTTGGATATTCTTTAATAACTGCAGCACAAAGGAGCTAAAAAATCAACGACCAGTTTCATGTCCCTTCAGACACTTAATCAGTGTAACCACTTAATAAGCCCTCATATCCACTTTAAGGCCTCATTCACATGAGAAACGGCCGGCCCATACAGATCCGTGCTGTGTGCACGGCCTTATCGGGCAGATCCCGGGAAGGACATGTGCTGCGTGTGATTTTGTACGCAGCAGCCTGTCTTTCTCCATGGGAGTACATGGCTGTACGCCGTCCTACGCTCACCCGAACTGCACGTCTGCGCGGGTGTCCCTGCTCCGACGCAGACAGGATCCATCCCTTCAGCGTACGAGTACAGACACCCGCACCCATGTGCAGTTCGGGTGAGCATAGGACGGCGCACGGCCACGCACTTCCATAGAGAAGGACAGGCTGCCGTCTGTAATCACACGCAGTACCTGTCCTTCCCGGGATCTGCCCGATACGGCTGTGCACGGATCTCTACGGTTCGGCCGTTTCTCGTGTGAATGAGGGCTAATACTCCTATGCTGGGGTGGTAGCCACCTGCTTATTTACTATGGGATGGAATAAAAATATTACATATGAAATAATGCAAAAATATTACATGTATGTGGTTTCCAACAATATATACAATAAGTAGATTGTCACGGAGCGAAAGCAAAATCACAATAAATCAAATTAGAATTTAAGTTTAATTAAAAAGCTGTGTTTTTTAAAGTGTGTGAGTCCACCTAATCTCTAGGCTGTTCAGCACATGTGTAGGCCCACCTTTCAGTTTAGACCTGGCTTGATCAATACCCCTAAAGGACCCGTGGGGTTGGCGGAGGTGCACACGTTTGACAGTATGTGGAAGCGATCAGGCGGCTTTAAAGATGGAATCATTTTCAGTGTAAAGCTGACAGCTTTACACATGTAAACATACTTTTGGCTGCCTATGGGACCCGCTGTACCTTACGGTATACATCGGCGGCAGCTTAAGGGTTAAAGGGTTTGTGCACTTTCAAAGTGCACTTATTTTTAATTTTTTTTTGTTTACCGTGGGAACGGTCCCGTGCAAAACGAGCCTATCCTCTCCTCAGCCAATACATACGTCACTTGCAGTTACGTCAACAGGTGTTTGCTTGCATTCCAGCCAGCAAATCTTCAGTTTATTGGCATTTCATAGGGTTCTATAGGATGGTCTACTGAGGCAGGAGATGCTTGTGACAGGACCTTATAAAACCATATGGGAAGCTACTGCGTAAGCACAGCCAGCTCACTAAAGATCGTCTGTCTGTGATGTATACAAGTAGAAGCGGTCCATAATAGAAGTCACCAGCACTCGATATGTGCAAGAAGTAAAAGCACTTTTTATTAAATTGTCACATGCGTCAAACAGCCAACATTTTGGGGCCACCCAAGGTCCCTTCTTCTGGGCAACATAGTGACCAATGGACTGTATCTGACTGTATTATGGACTGTATCTGACACGGCGCCATCCGTGTTGTCACTTCAAGCACCAACCTCTCATCCACGGTCTGTACGCTGTATGGAGTGCAGGTGATTTTGTATTATCTACAAGTAGAAGCAGGCACAATTGGGAGTTAAGTATCCATCTCAAGGAGGTGGAGTTAGGTTAGCTAGTCCTTTTGGTTTAGAGATCCTTGTGCCAGAAATATAAGGAGCTGGGGGTACCATCTGTTTGCCTTTTACCTTGGCAAGTTAAGAACAGGATACATTTCTTTTATTTATGATTGATTGTAACATTTGTAACTATATCTATTTCTGATATGAAGCCTTTGATTGGATACATTTTCTCAATTATACATAATCAGTGTTAGTATTTTATGTGCTTGCTAAAGCATTGCCTTTTTTTTCTTAAAAACCAGGGTCATTACAGGTTTTGTGAAGCTCTGTTTGCCCTAGGAGAAATGGAGCACGCAATTGCATCCAATGAGAAAGCACAGGAATTGTGCAGAGACTCCCAGGAGGGTATCCGAGACTTGGTCCAACAGCACAGCAAGTTTAAAAAATTGAAAGAGGCGGCAGGTAGAGAAAATCTTATTTCTGTTCACGCTGTTCGTGCGTGCGTGCATATTTGACCTCCAGGGTGTTGTCTCCCATGTTTATAATGTGTAAGTTGTACCAGGGCCAGTCCACTCCAAGCCCTTGGCTTCTTATACAGGTGAAACTTGAAAAATTAGAATATCGTGCAAAAGTTCATTTATTTCACTAATGCAACTTAGCCGTCTACCAGGAGATTTTGGAGCACTTCATGCTTCCTTCCGCAGACGAGCTCTATGGGGATGCTGACTTCATTTTCCAGCAGGACTTGGCACCTGCCCACACTGCCAAAAATGTTCTGAGATTGTGGATCTGTGTTTTCATGAGCTGTAAGCCATAATCATCACAATTATGACAAATCACGGCTTGAATTATCTTGCTTTGCATGTAATGAGTCTATCTCATATATTAGTTTCACCTTTTAAGTTGCATTAGTGAAATAAATGAACTTTTGCACGATATTCTAATTATTTGAGTATAATTATTTGAGTATAAATACACCTGTAGGTCTGGTAGCAAGAACTCCCTGTCAAGAGTTCTTGTCCACCTCAGAGTTTTGAGTGTTCACCAAGCACCTTATTGTGTTCCAGCTCCTCCTGTTACACCCTTTATAATAAAAAAATAATATTTTAGAAGGAATTTTGGGAACCCTTTTTATATACAGACTCGAGAACTTGGTGCAATGTGGCACTTCATCTATACTGTGGAAGGTAGAGTGAGACCTCTTCAGAATAGCCAGGAAATGCCTTCCAACTGACGTTTTGACATTTTTGGTTTTTTTTTTTGCTCTTTTTCAGTTAATATTTGTGAATGGTGTCTTACCCGATAAACGGAATACCTTGCTTATTTTTAATATGATTCTTCTTCCTTTTAGAAGTCAATGTGAAGAAAACTAAAAAGAAATCCACCTCCGACAAAAAGTATGTCATTGTTTTGCTTTATTGTTATGCTTTATTAAACATGTGACTCACTTCCACGCAGCATGTACCTTTATCTCATCAGCTGTGGAAACCTTCCCCCCCCCCCCCCCCCACCTCTTCTTTTTAGGTCGTCCTTTT